ATGCTTGTTCAGAGTTAATACGTATAACTAGACAGTCCTGTGAAAAACAATTAGTTAGGAGAACGACTGACTGTGATTGTGGCGGCTTGTTGACGAACCCAAAGTCGTTGCGAAAGGTATTACCCAAAGACTAATTCCAGTCGTCCTGATGATATTCATCCTAGGATTATGAAGGCTCAATCTGATTTAGTTGATAGGTTTCTGAGGCAGTCCAGACTGCCCAGAGACTCGAAAGAAGCCATAATAAATCCGACATATAAGGTGGGTAGTAGAGACTTAGTAACTATCGACCCGTTAGTCTAGCTAGGGCAGTTGTAAAACTGATGGAAAAGATTACTCAGATAGCTGTTATAAACAGTGTGGAAGGGCATAATCTTTTCTCCATGGAACAACATGGTTTTAGGAGAGGCCTATTAAGTTCGACAAATCCTCTCATCAGGCTGCGGCAGAAGGTCGGAATATTCCTGTGGATGTGATCTTCATAAATCTAAGTAAGGCGTTCGATCAGGTCTCCCACTCTGGTCTTAAATTCAAACTGGAACGTTTTGCAACGCATTATACAGTCGTAGATTGGATAAGTAACATTCTCCATGACATGTGACAGAGGGTAATGGTAAATGGAGCTCTCTCATCATGAGGACCTGCAAAAAATCGAGTTTTCTAAGACACAATCCTCTGGCCTCTTCTCTTTTTACTTTATGTAAATGAATTACCAACTGTACCAAAATCACACGCTCTATTATTCGCTGATGACATAAAAATTTGGATACCCATACACAGTATGTCGGATAGGATGGTATTACAGAATGATCTTAGCTCATTGGTGGCATGGTTGGACAGGTGGTCACTACAAGTAAATCCTAATAAGAGTGTGGTGATGCAATTAAATAACTATGATGAATTGTATCACTATACAATGTGTGGATTCGTTCTACCCAAAGTAAGAAGCTATAAAGATTTAGGAGTCATATTAAGTAGTGATCTCAAAACCACTAGTCACTGTAAGACTGCTGTTGCGAAAAGCTATAGGATATTATGGTCTTTTCATAGGTCTTTCCAGTATTTAGATGATGAAATATTTAGGTTTTTATACGTTACTTTTGTAAGACCGCATTTGGAATATGAGACGATAAAAAACGTGTAAAGGACAGGGCCTACCACCTCGGGAAACCTCATATAGGTGGGCTACCTGTCTATTCACGTAAGGCTCATACAGACAAACAGGACGAAGCTCACGCGTTCCAAATTAAAAACATAAACTGCTTATATATGAACGCCGCGAGTCTACCAAACAAACTGGATGAACTACGTGATCTTAGCAATGCTAGTAAGGCCCATCTGATAGGAATATCTGAAACCTGGGTATCTTCTCAGTTCTCGAACCATGAGTTAGCATTACCTGGGATGTCTTTGTTCCGCAATGACAGAAAATCAGGATATGGGGGCGGAGTAGCTGTTTACATACGTTCTTGCTTGGAGGTGCATCAAGTTCATAACCTCGAGTTTAACAATCTTGAGGAATCTATATGGTGCTCTGTAAGATTGTCAAGTACTTCAAGGTGTCTAGTCGGAGTCATTTACAGGAAGCCAACTGCCGACACCGAGTACGATAGTCGTATGCTGGAAGGGCTATCCCGCTCTACTCATCTCGGTTTCACACACATCCTGATTCTAGGGGACTTTAATCTCCCTAGAGTCAACTTCGCGGAACACACGTATACTGGAGGCGACAACTCAATTGAAGCTCGGTTCTTCAACCTCATCGATGACTTGGGATTGTACGAAAATGTGAGGTCGGCAACTCCTTGGAGAAACAGTCAGACGCCATCGCGCTTAGACTGTGTATTTACAAACGAAGCATTTCTAGTTGACAACCTCTCAATCCTGGCTCCTCTGGGAAAAAGCGATCATGCCGTCATAGCCTTCAGTTTTGTCAGCAAAACTAAGCTAAGGTATCCCAACAATAATTTGCGTTGGAATTTTAAACGGCTGAATGTGCCAGCTCTACATGACTATCTACAACAGGTGGTTTGGGATGTTCACTCCCAACTCGATGTGGACGGTCATTGGGACTTCTTACTGCACACGCTCTTATGTGCTACAAACCATTCAGTTCCTCAAACGGCTCCTGAAAGCTGCAAGCAACCTAAAATAATAAAGAACCGTATCCTTCGCCTGCTAAGCCGCAAAAGGCACTGTTGGGCGGAATACAGACGAACTGACAACGACGGAGCGTACAGGCAATATAAGCATATCAGGAACATATGCACGAAGGCTATAAGAGAAGATAGGCTTCAGTACCAGACAAAGCTTATGGACAGATTTGCCTCTAATCCTAAAAGCTTATTCCGTTTTGCAGCCTCTCTTCGTCAAGCAAAAATTGGAGTTTCTCAACTGGTAGGTCTTAACAGCCCGACCAACAACGATGGTGACGCCGCTAACCTTCTGGCTGGACATTACTCCCAGACATTTCAACCGACCGACATTAACTTTACTGATGACAGTTTCATTTGCAATTCCACAGGACTTTCCAAAGTGAACCTAAGCGCTGACTTGGTGTTCCGGAAACTGCAGCAGTTAAGATTAGACACTTCTCCTGGCCCGGACATGGTCCATTCCGCCATACTGAGGGAAGCAGCCTCAATCTTAGCAGCGCCGCTTAGCGTGATGTTCTCACACTCGCTAAGTCGAGGAAAACTACCGGAAAATTGGAAGTTGGCTCACATCACACCGATTTCCAAAGGACGTCGACGCAGCGAACCCTCAAGTTACCGACCGGTGGCTCTTCTCTCCATACCCTCAAAAATCATGAAGTCCCTGATATGCGATGGTATAAATGACTATTTACTGTCCTTAAATTTCTTCTCACCCCAACAGCATGGTTTCAGGAAGGGTTACTCTTGTATAACCAACCTGCTGACTGCGGTGGACAGATGGACAAGTATCCTTGATCACAAAGGGAAGGTTGATATCATCTACCTAGATTTCTCAAAAGCTTTTGATAAGGTTAACCATACATGTCTTGTCAATAAGTTCATATGATTGGGTATCAGACCACCTCTAATCGATTGGCTCACTTCATACCTGAAAAATCGACATTTTAAGGTTAGGGTTAATTTCACTTTATCTCAGGCTATGGAATGTCCTAGTGGGGTCCGCCAGGGCTCAGTACTAGGACGTATTCTCTTCTTGGTTTAGATAAATGATTTTCCTCAACAGGTATTGTCAGACTGTAAAATCCAAACTACGGTTTGGACTTCTGAATAGCCTTCCAGGTACTTTAGACACGCGCCTTTGCCCGTCAAAATCAGAACAAGTAATCGGGTAAATAGCGGTTCTATAATTCATCATAAATTTATATGTAAATCGTTACCTAAACAAATATTACCACCCGGCTATTCAACCAATAATTGTTCAATCAATCAAATCTAAATTACAATAAATAAAGAAGTTGATAAAAGATGAGGGAAAATTACCAGTCACAACAAATGAACGTTATTCTATCCTGACTGGATAGAACACACACAAAAGGAGGAGCAAATCAATATGGCTACCGCCAAGAACAAGTGTCAAGTAAAACAACACTGATGCAGTTCGGGAAGAAACACGAAAACTTAGTGAAGGCGTAACAAAAATAAAACTGTAATAAAATACAAATATTAACAATTCAAATGTGATCAGAAGACAACAATGTACAACTAAGGGGATCAATAGGAACAAAGTGCAAGTATATACATGGAGGGATTTTCACAAACACACAAAACATTTAAAATGGATCTTACACAGACTTATTACTTTCTGCCGACGACGTAAAACTTTGGAGAGGGGTACGCAACCAAGACGAGATACAGGCACTTCAGGAGGATCTGACTCGACTTTAAAGTTGGGCAGACGATAACGGACTTACCTTTAACACTTTTGGTGGCCCGTAATTTGATTTTGTACTCATTTAAATCGGACGATGTTCGTTGAAGGGCTCACCATTTTAGTGGCCCATTGGTCAAACTCCATGATCGTATAAATGTTTGTTATCACCTATTCTCGTATATAATCGTCGACTTAAATCACGTTATCCAATAACAGAATTAAATAAGTCGAATAACGAGAATTGACTTGAGAATATATATATTTTGTATATGAAGCGAATGAAACGGAGCAGAGCAAAATGACACGCATGGAAGATGGCTGGGAAGCCAACTCCATTTTAGTCAAGCGTTACTCAATATTTATAGTCAAACAAAATAAAGCTACAGACATGATTAATGGGATAAGAAGGGCACACATATATACGCTCATATAAAAACAGTCAAGACTAAGAAGCTAATAATTGACAAGGTCAAAATATGACTCTAGTAGAATGAATAGAATGGTTTGTCCAAAAACTAGAATAAGGTATATGGGCTTAAATTAATTACTGACACTACACACTTCAAAGCGTAAAGTAATCCATTTGCGACATGTCGCAGACTACATTTGTAACTTGCCTAGACGATTTGGTGGTTCCTGCTACTAGACACGGAAGCCTGTTAGGCGAAATTTTCTTCTATTCCGTCCACAACCATTTGAACCATTTGAAGTAGCGAGTCCTTGTTTCAAGTATGAGGTGGATATGCTGAAACGAGTCCGACGACGAGGGAATAAACTTGTAAACGGTTTCTCTGGCCTATCTTGTGAAGACAGACTGATACACCTTGACTTATTTCGTTATCTTACCGTAGAACACGGGGTGATCTAATATTGTCTTGCTATAATTAGGTTCGTTGTACAAGATAGACCCTTTCTAAAACGATGTTGTTCTATGTTCTTCACCGGAACATGTAATGTCAGTACCTTCTGTTGATACATTCAAAAAGAGATTGGACCTCCACAGAGTTAAAAACTGCAAGGATTAACATAGGTCGATAGACCTCCTATCCTTATTATTGAAGACTGAAATATTAGCGCGCACTTGATACGCGGTGTCACAATTCCCTTTGTATTTCATAGTTTGGGACAATTGAATGGTATGGCTGTGGGATAGACTGTTATTGTCGGTAGTTTAAGAGTTGAGACTCCGAGTTTTAGAATTTTGTTGTTAGGTTTTAAGCGATTTAGGCCTGTGTCGGTGCTTACTGGTTTGAAGTACTATGATTCCCAGCCTAAATTATAAATATTTAGCCCTAAAAACCCATTACTTGTGTCAAAACTCCTGATAATTCAGGGTTCTACCGTTTTCCTATATGTCAGGCCATTGGTGTTGCCAATTGAGACTATAATAAGTTAAATTTATGAGCGACCTTTGAGCGTCGCTAAATTTAGCGACCCTACAGATGTTCGCCTGCTTACTAGAGTTAAAGGAGAATTATAGATTGGTGTGAAGAATTAGGATCAGGTTTTAAATCTGAATGTCAAGGGTAGGCACTAGATTCAGGGTTGTCACACGGACTGGCATCAGCTATCTGATTTCCAATTTATATGGGGAATGTCGACTTCTCCCGTTGAAGTCGGCTATTTCTACCTACCTAATACCTCTGACTCAAACTCGGCTGTTAACAAATGATTCGAGGAGAGGTACCAGGACTTTCTGACATCTTGAATTTATAGGCCATTCGACTGGACCAACAAAGACGTTAGTACCAATAAATGCAGAGTACTAGTGGTGAAGGCTGTTGATACATCCAGTATCACACTGTACTACCCGAAGTAGATCATCATGTAGAGTTATTTTCAGCTCTAAGGTCCATTCCCATTAGCATTCTCCAACCAATAAGGCATACTCAATCGGTTTTTTTCCAGGATATTAGGCGGCTTGGCTCCTTGATTATTATAGTTTTCGGTGGTGACTTAACTTCACATGAACGTACTTCTGCATCATGTCCCGCCTACCTTGAAGATGTCGCTTTCCTGGAAGATTTTCAAATAAGAGTAATGGAGGGGTACTTGAACTAGAAAATAACTCGAACCCAACTTACCTGAGAGCTTTAGATTTGTGACATGTGTTGCGTAGGAGAATTCATGGAGACATTATCTTTGTGCATCATATTGTTCGTAATTTTCATTTTAATAGGCAATAGTTATTAGATTACATTTCAAAGAACATTCACTCAGGATAACGTGCGTTAGTTCGCACGAAATCCATTCACACTTCGTGGTCAGGATTGGTAAGTTGTAGAACTCCTAAAGGTAATGGTAATAGTACCTTCTACTGAATCCTTCATTGAGAGACGTTCGCTTTAGTACCTATGTATTAAGGAGGATTACTCTAGTTATTACTCATTGACTACTTATTGACTTATTTGCTTCTGCCATTTGTTTTCAAAAGGAACATAACAGAGGTGTCTTTACGTAACTAGAAGCGGTCTCGTGCTACCGGGACGCGGATTCCAAGGACTTGACAACCCTCTAATTTGTCTTAGTAAGTTATAATGTTTTATATGATTTTACTTCTAGTTTTTGCGTTGTGCTGCTTTTTTTCACCATATCTCGAACTGTCTTGATATGTGTAGAAACATATGTGTTTACTCACGAAGCACTTACGAATTTAATTAAACGAGGTATTTTGAAGATCCTTTTTATCCAAATCGTCTCAGCACAAGAAAGACAACTTAGTAGTATGGTTTACGTTTATTCCTCAAAGCTACAAAGACGGTTAGAATTTCAAGAGGTATTTGAGACATATCGATTTCCTTAATATTCCTAGTCGGTGGTGGATGCCCTTGGTTTTGAAGATGAAACACCCATAAAAATTAGACAGGACTCGTGTAATCTAGTTGTTGGTACTGATTGTTTGGGATTCGAATGGATAGACATACCTTTGTGTGTTAGTTTACTTTACGTTACTGACGTTTTCTTTTAATATGGTATATGAGATTTATTATCAAGAAGATATTTTTTCAAACCGCTCAGATTTATTCCTGCATCGCTTCCCAGAAATAAGTTTAAGCAAGTGTGCCGATAACAATCTTTAACTGGATTTTATAAACATATGTGCAGTAGCACAAATATCCAGGAGCTATCATGATGAATAGTTGCAGTCACGACTGGTTACAACGAAAAGGATGGATCAAGACGTTCAGGTGTCTCCAACATATAAACTGTTTTATGCACACGAAAAGCCATGTAGTAGCTAGATTTTGTGTAGATTATAGTTTATTACTGAAGTTATCAGTCACTTTATGGTGCTGAAATGGTTATCGGGATTTTATGTTTTGAATATCTCAAGCATTATATGGCTTCTTTATCAGCTTTTGCAAATATTATGTTGATCTGAGAGTTTCGTTAGCTATGAATTCTGAGTATTCATACGTCTAAAATATTCATACTGAATAAAATCCATTAATAACTTTCTTACAAAACCGCGAGATTTATGTCAAAATAGTTCTGTGAGCGAATCGTATAATTTTGTATTAAGTGCATAATATCTTTGTCCATTTATTAATCGAGTTTTTATCTGTGTACAAAACATCACAAATTTATTTAAGTTACATCCTCTGGGAATTGCATCCTTTTATGGGATTAGAGAGTTTTATTTTTTTGTAGCGTCCACGTGTTTGTCCTTTTGCTATGTCTAACCGACGCTTCCTAGACTCATATGGGAAATCTTGTCCCAAATGGATTCCTGTGGCGTGCTGCTGCCTTCTGCATTTGTCTGGACTAGATGGTCTGTTTCTCACTCGCAGACCGTGGCATATGCGATCTTATCCAGGTGTCTGGGTTCCACCTGGAGGTCATTGTGAAGCTAAAGAACCTATTCAGGTGTGTTTCTTTAATCGATTTTTGTTCTTATTAGGAAACGACCATATTTTTGCCTCGATAAACTTCTGTGTACTAATGTTTCAGTGCAGTACTTAAAAAACAAGGTTTCTAGATATCTCAATTTATTTATTCTACTAGTCACAAAAAGTAGTTTATTATGGAAAAGTATCCAATTAGAGGTTGGGATCTGCACGACTGTATCCAATATTATTTGTACGTCCACATCGTACGGGAGGTTATATCATTCTTTATTTAGATTCAGTAACCCGAAGAATTCTTGGTTATCTGTTTCTCATCCTCTGTGTGGAGTGTTACCTCTATTAGAAAATAATTTATAATTTACTTCAACCCTGCTTTTAGAAGCATCCACTTTTGAACTTGCGAATGTTTATTTAGTTGTTTTCTGTATCTACATATCTGACCTACATATTTAGATTCCTAAGTAGCGTTATAATATCTATCGAAGGAACCTACCCATTCTTTCGCGTCCCCATTGCAGTCTGTGGTAACTTGGGCAGATATAAAAAAATTTACAGTTCATCTTAGCGGTTACCTCTCACTTCAACCGAATTTCTCACCTTAAAAACTCATTAAAGTATGCCAAAAATTATGTCAAAATATTTGAACTTCCACTCTATCCCAAAACGTGTGTACACTGATTATACAGGATTTCTGAATGGGCATATGTGAAACATTTCTAATCAATACTGGGAGTTTATTTAGTAGATCCTCAAATATTCTTCAATAACGAGGCTTTTCAGTGCTCTGTTCAAGACTATCTAACATTTGGTTTGTACCAAATGTGCAAACACTTAAGTGAAAAATGTTAAAATATATACGTGACTTCAGAATAGATGATACAGTTCTTTCATTGATCAACAAATATTTAGTTTCCTAGAGTTTATTGGTGTTGACCTATGGAAAGTAGAGTAATGTAAGAAATAATATGAACTATTTTACGACATAACATTCCCAGGAATAACCTGTCGGTATAAATGATCACTCATCTACAGTATTCTAAAATATTTTTAGATAGAATAAAAATGCCAGTTATCTGTGCTGCTGATGATTGTATAGTGATATAATTATGGCGTAATCCTTTATTTGTGTTACTAATCACAGGACACCGCATTTCGTGAACTCACAGAAGAGTTAGGATTACATTCGTATGGGAAAGAAAATGTAATGAATGAATGTACTATTAAACCACTCTGTGCATGGGAAGCTTCCTATCCTTCTCGTTTAGATACAGGAATCGGAAAGTCTACTATCTTTCCTAAATCTCATCATATGGTTATATATTACTCTGTTAATTGGTTTCGTTCTTCAACGTAAGAATTATAATCTTCAGCTTTTTTTGTTTACTATTCAGATACGTGCGTATGTTTTTAACTACTGTGATTTTAAATTTTAGGTAACTTTAAAGTGCATACTTCCCTTTTTACACAGTGTTGGAATACCATGGAAATTCTGGATAATTGACATAGGTCTAGAGATTTTCGATCTCTGTCAGCAACAAATGACGTCAAATTTCTGATATATACTAGTCGAAATTCCAAATTCTGAGCACTAACCTTCGAAAAGTAACTCGTATTAATGATCTAAGGGATCATTTTTGTTATTGGTCACAAAGGTCTGTTATAAATCGAATGCGCGAGTAGTAGACTGCATACAGTGTTGATCATTATGATGGAGTGCTGTGAAGATCTTTTAAATTGACGTTTCACTCCAAATAATTGTTGACAATCAGATGAACAACTGCTGCTTGCAAACCTAAGATGATTGAAATATTTATCCAATGTGGTAAATCGTGTAAATTGGGGAACTTGACTTTTTATAAGTAAAAACCTGTCATCCACCGCAATCAATATGCTTGGGACGCGCAGCACCCTCACCCAAATAATTTGCCTTGATATTTCCTGTTATCCTTGAATGTTGATTTATTGATATTTTAATTGCGGCTTCATTTTAAGACCAAACAAATTTTGCTGACTGAAGATAATCAAATTTTAGAATTTTTTATCGCTTATCAACAACAATTTAGGTAGTTAGTTAATTTGTTATCCTATAGGACCTAAAATTTCATGGCTTTCTATTTTCAATGTTTAACGTTAATTTTAATAATTGGCGGGCCTGTTTTGCTAGTTTTTTTTATCTAGTAAGTTATTGAACAATTATATTAGGAGTATTCTTGATTGCTTTTTACTAAAAGCCACGATCAATGTAAAATTAACATAAGTCAGTCAATCAGTCAGTAACAACGTACAACTTCGTACGTACGTACATCAGTTCGAGTCGCCACACCACCTTAACACAGAGATGCAGTTGTCGATTCAAATCCCGTATTGGTAGAGGTAGTAAGAGTATAAGCAGTAGTCGAAAACACTAAGGTTCGAAGATGTTATTCAAGGAGTATAAACCAGTGAAATAAATTTGGGAAGAGAAAGAAAAAGAGACAAGGAGGAATCAGGAGGTTAGAATTTGGGAGAACACAAAGAGTGTATGCACCTGCGCCATTGCAAACGACTTTGAGCCATGTCATTCAGGATCTCTAACCATCGGTTGCTATCATCTCGCGGTCCCAAACCAGGTAGTCTACACCTAGCGACATGGCTCAGACCACTTGTCAGTGACTTCATGGACTTGTGCCATGTTTTGGACTGGCCGCCCCTTACTTTCTTCCAACCTACTACTGTACCAGAAAACATCGCACGTCGGGGCAGTCGGTCGTTGGACATACGTAATACGTGTCCCAGCCATCTCAACTGATGAAGTTTCACTACGTCATCAGTGGATTTGCCATCCTTACCTAGTACCCGTTTCCTAACAACTGCACTACTTACTCGATGGTCACAGGATATATATGAGCGACAGTCTTCTATCGAGCCCCTCCATCGGTGGCTGATAGCGATGTGATCTATTTGGGTCCAACGTTGGGACGAATTAGGGGTCGCCATGTTAAAAGATGTTTTTGCTTATGCTTAAAGTTAGTATTTGCAAGAAACAGGCGGTTATCTGAGCATAGGTGCAACAGACGGTCGGCATTATCTGTTCTTTGAGCCACGACGCTATAAGATCCACCTAGGTGTCTTTCCCTATCGCTTAGTTTACCTACTTGAGCATTAAAGTCACCAGCCACTATTACTACATCAGAGCGCCTAGCTTTTAGGAGGAGGTCCGAAAGCTTTCTGTAAAACTCATCTTTTACATCATCTGCGCTGCAGTCAGTGGGAGAATAGGCAGAGACGACGAAGAGGCAACGACGAGTGTCCCTATCTTTCCGAGTCCTTACTGTTCCGTTTAGTCGGACAGCGCACAGACGACTGTCTACTGGGATCCAGTCTAAGAGAGCTAGTTCTGCCCTAAGACTCAATGCTATACCTACGCCAGCGAGTCCACGAAAAGCAGCATCTGGGCTTCCGGATGCACAAAGTGTGAATCGAGTTGGTTCTTTGTTTTGACATGGTGATGTCAAATGAATGACGCTACTCGGATCTTGTATGCGCGTTTCGGAGACGCAGCACACATTGATGGTGCGAGATTCTAAAGTCTTAGCTAAGGAAGCTTGTTGTCCTATTTGGCACAGTGTTCGGACGTTATAAACTCCAACATGAAGTTTAGAGTGTGGAATAACGTCCCGCGTACTCGAATCGTTTGCCCTAGCGGTGCGAGGTGATAAAGAGACGTGAGAAGGGTTAGTCATGGAGATAAGAGAGGTATTAGGAGGTGTAGGAAGGATTTGAATGTGACCAACTTGGTCTCGTGTGCTGTTACGGGTATGAGGGCTGATATCACTTCCCGACTGCCCACACCGTGGAAGCGTATTTCTTGAAGAACCTGAAAATGAAGTCGGATTAGTGTTGGTCTTAACGACCTGGGAGCGTGACCGCAGAGCCCAAGGGACAACTGCTTGAGGCCAGCCACGCACGGCCCTTTCGTGGAAGGTTTTTAATGTGTTAGCTCCGTTCTTCAAAGAGCCTTACCGCCGGAGACGGAAATCCATGAGGTAAGGTGAGGTGTGACATTTTAAGGGTCGACCTTTTCTAACCCCTTCCTTCCTTGTGGGAAGGCAGCATCGCTGCAGATGCTGGTTTTTTGAGGGAAACACCTTACTGCTGTCACACCCCTCTACAGTCAGCAGTACGGCTTCGCCCTCAGACCTTGAGTTGCTGCTTTTAGTCTTACCGTTCTCCAATCGACCTGTCTAACATGGTAGAACCTACAGGAACATATGTTCCAGCCAATATAGCTCGGTTGGGTCATCACGATAGGCAAGCGCGACCACCGCGTCAAGGTAGCAGCTACGGTCGGGAAAATTAACATAAACTCCAGTCGTAGTCATTTCTTTTCAATTATGATTCTTTCGTAAGGTAGTTTCTCCGGGAACTGGAGAAAGTACAGATTTCGCTCAATAGTTTTGTACTGTATTCCTTCTAGGTCAAAAATGACGAGTAAAATTTCACTCCTTAAAATTTTTAGTTTATTTACTCCATAATACCTTGGCCTTATATTCAGTTTGGTATTAAGCATATTAAGTAGTCATAAACTCCATTCTTTTTCTAAATACTGTCTTTTGATTTTTTATAGATCTGTTTTAGATTCAGATGATATTCACTCATACTTACCACAATTTAACCTTGAAGTAAATGAAGTATGTGCAGCCGTTTGGCTCCCGAGACCTGTTCTCAATAAATTAAGTGATGATTGGAAGGCATTTGAAAAACATTTTCAAAATCAGTCCACAATCAGTAATTCGGAATATCTTTATCCCGAGTTATCAACGATGCCATCCACTTTCCAGATTGATAATGATCAAACAGAAGTTTGGTAAATTGAATGATTTTTATTTGTTTTCATTAAGATGTTTTTGTTGATTGTATAAAAGTATTTTCTGAAAAAATTGTCTTTCATCATTTAGGGGAAAATCGCTGAACGCTTTAGTATAGTTTTTATCACTATTTACTTACGCTTGTTACCCCTTGTGGAATGTAGGCCCCCAACCAGACATCTCCAACCTGTTCCGCCCTGGGCTCTCTTTCTTAATTGTTCCCAAGTGATGTCCGTTCTTTTAGTGTCTGTCTTCGGCTCTCGACACAATGTGTTCTTTGGTCTTTCGCAATTCCTTTTGCCTTGAGGATTCTAAGTTAGAGCATGCTTTGTGGCGCAGTTTGATGATTTGCGCAATGTGTATCCTATTTCCTCTTTAGCTGGAATTTGTTTTTTGCCATATTATGTTGTTGCTGATGGTGTCTGACTAACGGATATGGAGTATCTTTCGTAGACGGCTGTTTATAAACACCTGTACCTTTCTGATGATGATTGTAGTTCTCCGAGTTTCAACTCTGTACAATAGAACTGTCTTGACGTTCGTATTGAAGGTTCTGATTTTTGTGTTGGCTGACTGTTGTTTTAAGTTCCAGATGTTTCTATAATTACAGAAATGCCACCCTCTTGGTGCCATTCTAGGGTTACTGCCGGTCTCAGTCCCGGATAAAGGAGCGGGGTTTTGGATGGATTTAGCATCCTCATCTCTCAGAAACGAACCTTGCTAAAAATTGCTGAAGTTTTTTCATTCTTCTTGATTAAGAAGTTAACCGAACTCAAACATCATACCATACTTTATAATTTTCTGTTTCACATTTGTGTGAGCTTAAAGAGTGTACTCCGATAACGATGACCATGGGTTTCAGTCATCAAACAACAGGTGTATTGTCACAGTAATTGGAAATTGACCACTGCTGGTAAGCAACTGTCTTTTACCACTGCTCTCTATTTTTCTTTCACATAAATTGTGAAATATTTTATCAAGGCAATAAAACGTCCATTTTTGAATAAAACGTTTTCTGGATTTTCTACATTTTTAGGTATTGGGGTGTAAACTCTCTTGACTGGCAATCGGTACCCGTGAATCAACTTATCTGTGGACTAACATCAAGTCGCAATCCAACTGTTTCACACAATACCAGACCCGAATCCGAAGTTGGTAATGGACCTAGTCCTGTAACACTGGGGACATTGTATGCTATTAGTCATTGGCTTTCATCAACCAGTACCAGAAGTACTGTTTGAAATTGTTTTAGTCAATTAATTTTCTAACTAATACTTGTATACCTTCATTTTTTTCATTCTTCGCTGAGAAGGTTGGTACAAATTATTGTACGATATTCCTTGTCTGGAACCTTAGTAAGTGTTTAAATATATCCCTTTTTGAACTAAAAAATTCCGACCGTAGCTGCTACCTTGACGTGGTGGTTGGGATCGCCTATCGTGATGACTCAACCGAGCTACCTCGGCTGGAACAAACGTTCCTTTAGGCCCTACCATGTCAGCTTGAAGAACGTTAAGACAGCAACTGAAGGTCCGAGGGCAAAGTCGTACTGCCAACTGTGGAGAGGTGCGACATCCGTAAGTTGTTTCTCGGCATCTGCAGCGATGCTGCCTTCTCACAACGGAAGGAAGAGATCAGAAAAGGTCGACCCTGAAAATGTCACACCTCACCTTACACCACGGATTTCCGTCCTTGGCGGTAAGTTCGGAGCTAACTCATCAAAACCCTCACACGAAGAGGCCGTGTGTGGCCGGCTTTAAGCAGTTGTCCCTTGAGCTCTACAATCACGCTCTCAGGTCGCTCAGACCACCACTAATTCAGCTTTTGTTCAGGTCCCTTAAGAAGAAATATCCTTACACGGTGTGGGCAGCCGGGAAGTAACAACCGCCTTCATATCTCTATCAGCGCCCGAGATCATCTCGAATCCCTCACCTCTTATTAAGTATTCCATCCTCATGGTTAACCTTCCTTGTACATATTTTCCACTACACTCTAAAGTACATGTTGGAGCTTATCGGCATCAATACCAAGGTTGAACTTGATAGTTTCAAATAAATTGAGCATTGCGTAGAGTTAATAATAAATGTATTTTTGTTATATCCCAATGAGCATAAAAATTGTATTTCTAACGTTCCGTGACTTAGTGTAAGCCACTTCTTCAGAGTAAATAAACAGGCTGTGAGGACAATCCACGAGTGACCGAAACCGGACGGGCCTTGGCAAACAATACACGCTGACTTCGCCGGACCAATACAAGGCAGAAATTACTTGGTTGTTGTCAATGCTTTCACAAAATGGTCAGTAGTATATGACATGCCGAAAGCGACACCAAAGAGTACAATTTGAAGATTCTCCGGGTTGTTTGCCTGTTTTGGGGTTCCGGAGATCTTGGTGACTGACAACGGCATTCAGTTCATGTCATCCGCTTTTAGACGCTTTTGTCAGGGAAAATGGCATATCGCATCTACAATCTCCTCCGTACCATCCTCAGTCGAATGGCCAAGCAGAAAGATTCGAGGATACGATAAAAAAGGTACTGGTCAAAGCGGGAGGTAAGGGTATCCCAGAACAAGTGATCAGTAAGATCCTAGTGTCTTACAGAGTTACCCCTAGTCCGGCAGTACCAGAAGCAGTCACCAGCCGAGTGTATGTTCGGAAGGAAAATCTGGACAGCAGTATATTGCCGCGCAGAACGACAAATAAACCCACGAATAAGTATCGTACGGTCACTCATAGCTTCCAGGTGGGTGAAAGGGTACTTGTCAAATCGTATCAAGGTAATAGGAAGTGGGAACCAGGTATCATAGAACGTTGGATCGGAAATGTACTGTACCGAGTCCGGGAAAATGTCGGAAAATGTATAAGACACAAATCAAATCCGAAGAGACGGCAGAACATATTTGTCCCACAAAGATGACTCCCATTTCAATTGCTCGTGGATTCATCTCGGAAAAGCCCTCAGGAGCGCGAATATAGAAGAGATAAACGACGTAAGGGCAAAGCTGTGCAACCTTTTAGAGTGGTGGACTGCAAGAGAAATGCGGCAACCAAGTTTCAGGTGGATCCGGGAAAAAAGTCTTACACAACAGACTTAAAAGGAGGGGTGTCCACGGGTGAACTCGAGGAAGCCTTAAGAAGCTCAGAAAGAGCCGAAGATGTTCCATCCAATCATCTTTTGGAGTAATATTCTAGAATCTCTACATGTAGCTTCTCGATTGGACAATGCTAATAACCTCTTGTGTGTGAATTGGATAGCTATAATAATGATTTCGTTTTTACTAAAAACTATAACTACTTGACAGTTTGTACTGTCTGGAATAACTCCCTTTTCACTAGTCTTCTGTCTTCTCATTGCGACTTGGGATGGTTCTAGCGTTCTAGTGTTCACGTTATACGCGGTATATTAAGAATATAAGCATCTAGATATAGCAAGCAAAATTAAATGAACAGAAGTTTAAATAGTATGTTTCTTTTGCACTATTTGAGCTTGTGTTAATTTAATTTGGGTCATTTGTTTACTCTGAAGAAGCGGCCTACACCGAGTCACGAAACATCAGAAGTACAATTTTTATGCTCATTGGGACATAACCAAAACACATTTATTATTACATGTTGGAACATTTAATGTTCGAACCTTGTGTCAGATAAGATAATAGGCTTCCTTAGCTAGGATTCTTGAACACTGCGCCATCGATGTATGTTTCGTCTCTGAAACGCGCTTACAGGATCTAACCACAGTCATTCATTTGACCTCATCTTGTCAATATAAAAAACCCGAACTACCTACCCTTCGAGCATCTGGAGATCCTATTGCTACTTCCTGTGGCTTTGCTAGTGTAGGTATAGCGTTAAGTTCAAAAGCAGAACATGCTCTATTAGACTGGATTCCAATAGACAGTATCGTGTGCTCCGTGCAAATAAACGGGGCCCTAAGCACTCGAAAAGATAGACACACACGCTGTTACCTTTTCGTCGTTTCTCCCTATGCTCCCACTGCTTGCAGCTCAGATGAAGTTAAAGATGAATTTTATAAGAAGCTATTCAACATCATTCAAAAAACTAAACGCTGTGATGTAGCAATAGTGGCATGTGATTTTAATGCTCAAGTAGATAAAATAAACCAAACCAAAAAACACTTAGGTGAATCTTACGGTGGTCGGGCTTGCCTATCGTGATGACCCAACCGATGCCTTCCAATCATCACTTAATTTATTGAGAACAGGTCTCGGGAGCCAAACGGCTGCACATACTTCATTTACTTCAAGGTTAAATTGTGGTAAGTATGAGTGAATATCATCTGAATCTAAAACAGATCTATAAAAAATCAAAAGACAGTATTTAGAAAAAGAATGGAGTTTATGACTACTTAATATGCTTAATACCAAACTGAATATAAGGCCAAGGTATTATGGAGTAAATAAACTAAAAATTTTAAGGAGTGAAATTTTACTCGTCATTTTTGACCTAGAAGGAATACAGTACAAAACTATTGAGCGAAATCTGTACTTTCTCCAGTTCCCGGAGAAACTACCTTACGAAAGAATCATAATTGAAAAGAAATGACTACGACTGGAGTTTATGTTAATTTTCCCGACCGTAGCTGCTACCTTGACGCGGTGGTCGCGCTTGCCTATCGTGATGACCCAACCGAGCTATATTGGCTGGAACATATGTTCCTGTAGGTTCTACCATGTCAGACAGGTCGATTGGAGAACGGTAAGACTAAAAGCAGCAACTCAAGGTCTGAGGGCGAAGCCGTACTGCTGACTGTAGAGGGGTGTGACAGCAGTAAGGTGTTTCCCTCAAAAAACCAGCATCTGCACCTAGGTGGATCTTATAGCGTCGTGGCTCAAAGAACAGATAATGCCGACCGTCTGTTGCACCTATGCTCAGATAACCGCCTGTTCCTTGCAAATACTAACTTTAAGCATAAGCAAAAACATCTTTTAACATGGCGACCCCTAATTCGTCCCAACGTTGGACCCAAATAGATCACATCGCTATCAGCCACCGATGGAGGGGCTCGATAGAAGACTGTCGCTCATATATATCCTGTGACCATCGAGTAAATAGTGCAGTTGTTAGGAAACGGGTACTAGGTAAGGATGGCAAATCCACTGATGACGTAGTGAAACTTCATCAGTTGAGATGGCTGGGACACGTATTACGTATGTCCAACGACCGACTGCTCCGACGTGCGATGTTTTCTGGTACAGTAGTAGGTTGGAAGAAAGTAAGGGGCGGCCAGTCCAAAACATGGCACAAGTCCATGAAGTCACTGACAAGTGGTCTGAGCCATGTCGCTAGGTGTAGACTACCTGGTTTGGGACCGCGAGATGATAGCAACCGATGGTTAGAGATCCTGAATGACATGGCTCAAAATCGTTTGCAATGGCGCAGGTGCATACACTCTTTGTGTTCTCCCAAATTCTAACCTCCTGATTCCTCCTTGTCTCTTTTTCTTTCTCTTCCCAAATTTATTTCACTGGTTTATACTCCTTGAATAACATCTTCGAACCTTAGTGTTTTCGACTACTGCTTATACTTGTTGGGGTGATCGAGAAATCGCTTGCGAAAGACGAGCAAGCATGAAGAAACACTAAGAAGCGTTCCGTCCAATCAGCGTTTGCTTGGAGTTTTGGCCAGAAATATCAAGGTAGCGAAACGTCACATGCGGAAGCTCTGATTGGTTGGCTACTTCAGTGCTACTATGTTTTGTAGCAGTCGAGCGACCCAAGGTCACTTAAGGTATTATAAAAACCCTATATTTTCTGTGATAGAATGAACGTTGGAGTAAAGTATTTTCCCTCATACTTGCATCTTCTCTCTGGTGTTCAAGTCGCTGTGTAGTTCTAGCTTGCGGGTTACCAGAATAGCTTAGGAAACTAATATAGCGTTCAATCGATAAGACTTATCAATACTCTTACTACCTCTATCACTATGGTATTTGAATTGACGATTGTATCTCTGTGCCAATATGATATGGCGACTCGAACTGATGTACGTACGTACAGTTTACATTGTTTAGTGGCTGACCTGAGTTCTTTGCTGTTTGATTCTACCTACTTCTGTGATGTATACTTCTGGTCGATCAGATCAACTCCGGCAACTGTTTTTACAAAAGGATTGTAGTCCTTTACTATGGTCATTAAGAATAGAGGATATTTTTAATTTACTAGTATTCAGTCATATGTGCCGCAAGCATTGTTCGTGTGCTTCGGGTCAACTGAGTGAGTAATGTTGGAGTTAGATGTAGAACACTAGTTCAAGATGACAAACTGGTTGATGAAATAGTGAATCTTCATCGACTGAGGTGGTTGTGGCATGTGTTATATATGTCTGGCCACTGCTTGTCTCGACCGGTAATATCTGGTGTAAGAGTACGCTGAAAGAAAGGTAAGGATGGCCAAGCTAAGACCTAACAATTAGTCCATGAAGTTATTGTCTGTTGAGCCGAGCCATGTTGGTAGATGCGGATTACATGGTTAGGGTCCATACGATAACTGGGATCAATGATTAATGACATTGGGTAACGCGGTTCGAAATAGATCACAATGGCCCGGGTAATATCACTGTCTTTCCTTAGATCATTGATCTCGGAATTATCGTGTTCTTTTATGTTCCAAAAACCCATATATTCTCAGGTCATGTCATTTAAGCCTTGTCTTTACTGCTAACGCTCATACTCTTACTACTTCGACTTTTCCAGCATTTCGCTGTGTTGTTATAACTCGAATTGATGCAAATATGTGTTAGGTTCTACTTTGCATATGACTGAATTCATAAACACTAGGCATAGTTTATAATAAATCAAAATTTACATGGCTGGCAAGTAGTAGGAATCTTCTTTACGGACATAATTTTGATGAAAATTGGATTAACAATCGATCATATTCAGCATAAACCCTAGCACAAATGTGGGTATGCGTAAGTGTTAGATCCTAGTGAAGATTAAATTATAGGTAACTTCTGAGAACTATTAATGGACCAATATTATATATATATATATATTCAGTAACTAAATTATGTATATCTATATTCCTGTGGTGTTGTTTACAAAATCGAGAGGATGAAAAGCAAATGTCCGGCGCTTTAACTGGGTTGGTGGACGCGGAGGGTCCACCTATTGGAGTTGGAAAGCCCTGATTCCGAACCAGTGGCCCACACGGGGTCCAGGGCCCTGAGGGAACAAATGGCGTATGAACCAATTGCCGACCACCGGCTACCATGGAACTGCATCTTCCGACGTTGCTAAACTGTCTTGTGGATTAGACTTTTAGGTCGAAGGTCCCCTAAGGAAACCACCTACTCAGGTTTGGGCACTCGGGCAGTGTCACAGCCCACACACAAATCAAGTGAATGTGCGGCGCATATGTAATCGGTGCCCCTTTGTACCAATATTTGTGTTCAAATAAATAATAAAGAACTGTAGGGACTGAAGATCTAAGGAAGGATAAAAGAGTGGATGTATTTGGGACATATCACCAAATATTTTCAATCACTGATCGTTGTTATAGTAATTTGCACTTAACAACATGGCTTAGGTTGGCAGTTCATTGTTTCATGAAATGATACTATATCATAGTTTGGCTACACCTACCCTTGTTTTAACGTATTTTTACTACAGCCGACATTGTATGTCAACAAAGGCAGTGGTTCGGGATATGTAATGTAAGGCATGCTCGTTAGTCTTATACAACGTAGAACTTGGGATGAAAAGTCAAAATTAGATTGATTTACTCATTATGATTTTCGTTTAACATTAATTCCGTTTTAATTCAATGTGATGACTACTCAGTATAGTATTTGTTTCGTTTTCCCATATTGCATTTTATTCTTTGTAACATACGATATACTTGTATTAAGTTAATATGAACAATGCTCAGCATATGATTTGTTACAACCAAGTATTTTCCATATATATGATTTTATTCTAATTATTAATCAAGAACGGGTCTATGAATCAATATATAAATGAGTGTATTTCCGACTAGTCTTGTCGTGGTTGCTCGTGCTTCTGGCTGTTTGTGGAATATATTTGCCTCTTCCGAACTTGGACTTCTCTCTCTAGTTCACGGGGTTGGGACGCGTCGGAATAGCTAGCCTATCTGTCATTGTATCACATAGTCTTCGTTCCGTTTTTAGATTAGGCGAACTCGTTATATCTTCAAACATAACAGTGTACATTGATTTAACATGCCACACAGCGACATGGAAATGTCATGGAAAATCGTAGAGTAATAGGGACAGTAACCATATTCTTAGTTGTAATAGAACATTCAAGTTTACATTTATCTATGTTCCAAATAAGTTTAAACTCTTTACATAAGAACTAACAAATGAAGACAATTGAAACAATCACAATGCATCTAAATAAGTATAGTTAGCGAAGCCACGTAGAAGTCTTTCGTCATTTAGAAAACATCACATTTGGGACTGAAGATAGTGACTGATAAACTCCGCTGGATCGTTCGGGTTTATAACTTTCCAATCTGGAAACCACCACTTTAAGTCACCTAATTTATCCGTAAGTAAGTTTTCTAAGATCCTTGCCAAAAACTCAGATCCTTTTCTGGAAAAGTGTAAACCGTCTGAAAGAAAAGACTCCCAATTCTGAAAAGGAAAAGACATTTAATTTTTGAGGAGTTTGATTTACAACTAAATAACATTATTAAAATGGTATCTTTGGATGAATATATTATGTGAATAACCGAAGTCAAACACTTGCTGACATCTAGACAAATAAAAAGGGTTTTGCTTTCAGATAAGCATGCAAAAGCAATTGATCAATACACCAAAAGCTAGGATTAGTGGCTTATAACACCTGACGAATTGGAACCTCATTACTACCTACATTTTTAAACGATTTTACAAGTTGTTTTCTATTTTGGCTGGACATGTATCACTGAAAGTAGACAAACAGAAGATTGAAAACCATTTTAATGATTAAAAATAGCACTAAGGCAAATGATTTCTTGAATAATGAGTACTTCCTTTAGTGAATCTTGAATTTAGTCTTGAAAAGACATGTCACTTATATACTTGGTCCAGTCTGCTTTAATCCCCTTTTTATTGAACTAAGTCGTGAAGAGAAATTCCTCGAGCGGGTTTTAAAATACTTTAGTTATGTAATATGTTTTGTCGAATACTTTAGCCTTTGTAACGTACCATTGTGGTGTGAGCTACTTATATAAGTAGTATATAACGTGCGTTAAAAGAACGTAATGTCCGGCAGCAGATGGCGAAGATCAAGAAAGGAAGAGCAAGAGCACAATGGAATTGTAAGAAAACGCATGTACAATGGATTAGTGTTTGCAACGGGAACAGTACAGTTTGATATGATGGAATGATATTTTGCAAATTGACGATTGACTTTATGGTATTCACATTTTATTGAGATAGTCTGTAATTTTTGTGCTAAATACAATCGATTGTCCCCACCCGTGTTCTTGTTCACTACACCATCACTTATTAGCTGTCTGCTTTTATCGTAAACAAGACCGGATAGTAGTAGAATGAGCCGTCAAAAATCAACCAGTAACCTTCGACTAGTAAACATAAGCAGTCCAGACAGTCGCACAATATTCAGGATATTCTCACAGAGTAACCTTTCAATTCACTGATATACAACTACTAAACAGAAACATATTTGGGACAATGGTCGGTATATCTTATTTGCCGAAAAGTTTTTTATAAATTGTGTACGCAAAGATTTATGCTTCCATTATTCAAAAATATCGAACTTATTTGAAGAGGAACTTACCTTTTGCATTAACATAGCTTCATATAAATTCACAAAACTAACTTCATTGACGTTGGCAACCTCTTGACATGCAACTGCATAGGTCGCACAAGTATCTAGTCTTCGTGTAATTGCCCTTCCTAAAAAACCAAGTGTAAATTCCTTATACAAATGACTTCCAACGTTAATTTTATTAAAATGCGGTTGAAAGAGATGCCAAATTAATGGGTACAGACACAGAAGTTTAAGATAAGTATTCTTTATGACACTTTCGTGTATACAATTCGTTATCTTTGCTTTCATAACCGTTTTACGAAGTATTTTTAGTTTAACCAATGCTTTCAATCATTATATATATAATATAATATAATATAAAAAAACTAAATTCCTGAGTCACCTTTAGCTATTTCAATAGCACCCCATTTATTCTCATCAATAGGAGGTAAACTGATTAGTGAAATGTGATCCGTAGGCACGTCCAATTTCTATTATTGGAAAGAAAATCAATTGAGTAACAGATTAGAGGACAAAAGTTAGTGACAAATAATAATTACACTTGGCGAAACAACATTCAGTGATATACTGTTTTAGAGACGTTTGAAATTGAGAACATTTACTCCTCTCTCAAAGTTGCAACACTTCTTGTTTTTATGTTAAGCTGAAAGGTGAGTTGAATTCAAAAAAGGTCTCAATTCTGTGTTAAGAAACTTTTCGTTATATATATTTACTTCGTGTACCGGTACTCCGTTACCGGTAGTCCACTTATCTGATATGCTAATTGAAGGTGGGTGACGTGCACATTCACTTCTTCCAATCGCTTATGACATTTTATCATGCTATTTTTGTGCTAAGATTTCGCATATAAACATTTTATTATATAGAAAATCTATTGTTCTGGCTTGTTTTCGACCTTAAGTCACTTAGAGACTTACATCAATTATTTGATCTCGTGAGCAGCCATCACTCGATCAAGCATACAGTCTGTTGATTAATATTCTTTGCACCCAATTAATAATCCAAAAAGCCCATTTATAGAAGCCTACTTCATAGGTTTCACACAAATCATAAAAAAATCTGATAGAAACTACTTTCATAATTCTTTATTAAACCTCATAAAACATACATGAATATATTCAATCATCCAACTTAGATTACTTTTGTATTCTTCAACTGGTACATGCTGTTGTGGAGTGGCACATGCATCATTAGCTCCGAGAAAAATAGTGAAAAATTTACAATCCTTTAGTGAGTCCTTATTTGGATAGAGGATTGGAAGTAATGGTTTGCACAAACGAGTGTTATAACCAGAATAACCTCTCCCAACAATATCTATCTTCCTGAAATTAATAACAAATCTAGTTAAGAATTAATTATCGGTATGATTTAAGTGTTGCTAACTGATTTAATTTACTTCCTCATAATCAGTTCTTTATCAAAACTAGTCCACATAACCTCCATTTTGAGTGATAAGGGATTTCTGAAGAAAAAACATGATTTCCAACTACGCTTTGCTGATTAATTGTCCTTGGATTTGACTTTTCGTATCCCTGTTTAATGTGATTTTATAGCGATGTTAGCATTTAAGCTTTGACCACTGGATTGGGACGTTCAAATTAATTTCAGGCATCAAGTCCTGCAAATTATTTTTGATTTATAGTGCGATAAACGGATATCTACTTGTTTACTGAGTTAGATTTATGTACCTAAAATTTAGAGCTACGTATTAACTAGGGTGAATTTTTTATGTTTAAGTGGCGTAAATTGGATGTTTAACTTCAGTTTATTTATTTTATAACCACAGAATAAACATCAAGAGTTTTCACATTAATGATATAAATATGATAGTAATAATTCACGATACTAACCAAATACGAGATCCAACACTCAGTTGAAGTCTGGATTGCTGGGAAATAGACAGACTACCCATCTGATCAATTCAAAGTAGATAGGACGTGGGACGAACCTGGAATCTAATCGTTTTAAATTTAGTCCTTTATTCACAAACATATTGCTTCATATAATTGAAGATATTATCTTTGATATTATACAGGCCATCAGTCGAAAACTTTACTACTCATTTTGTATTTAAATATTAAACAACTAAGCTAAGTACTGTTGAAAAGGGAGAAACGCATCTTAGCATACAGAACAACTCGATTCAAATGGTCGATTACATAACAACCTTTTAAATCGGTCACAAATAAACATCTCCAAGTAAAGCAGATTGCATATGAGTGTGTAAAAAACAATACAGTTGAAAGAAACTCGATGTTAACGAGTTAGAACAGAAAAGTCAATGGAGTATGAAGTACCAGGTTTTAGATTTGTAAGATAAATAATGAATACATCTGCTCTAGTGTAACTGACTTCGAGTAACCTTAGCTTTTTTGAATCCAGAATGATTTTTGGTCGTAGGATTTGCCACTAATCCACTACTCAATATGACAAATCAACTGATGAGGAGTCAACCTAAACTTTACTAAGAAATTGCAGACACGATATTGCAAACGAGCGTGTACTATTTGACGGTTCCTACAAAATTACCAAGGTTAACTTGCAAATCGACAAAAACTGTAATGACCACATGCGATATTTAAACAATTGTCGCTCTAGATAAACCACAGTCGATTTCCTTGTAGTTAGTGAATATAATTGCACATTAAGACTATAAGGGCGAAAGTCAGTGATTAAATATACACAACCTACCTGACAAAAGTTGATGCCAGGATTGATAGCCAACCACCTTCATGAGTCCAACCAAACTGAAACAAAATGAACACAATCAGGAAGAGTCACGAGATAATATAACTTATTAACCACAACAAACATTTGGTGGCATATCCAAGGCAACAAAGGCACATGGCGATTGGAACTCCACGATATCGAGAAGCAGAATATTTCAATTTATAGTTTCAACACTTGTTTGCACAGCACTTACGGTATTTCATTAAACCTATTTTCTCCAATGCAAATGTAACAAATCACTTTGTTATCATTTATCCTACATTATAAATTTGCTTGAAGAGCATTACATCATGTTGCAGTAAAACAAAAGCTCGATTTTCAAGACATTGTACAGTGAACGAGAACTCAAACGGAGAAAGCCAATCTATTGTTTAATACAAATTACAGAATGTCTTCGTAAAATATGAAAACCTTACGATAAATACTTCATTTGCACATCTCCCATCAACTGTCTCTTACAAACTTAATCGTCCTTCCATTCCTGTTATTATTACAATTACTCTCTATTTGCATTCCTGTTCTCTTCAATTCGATCTTTTTAGCCTTCTGCTACCAGGCATTTCACTTGTGGTTAGTGTCATATACTACTTATGTCGACATAACTGTCCTCTAAACAATCCAAGAGCAAACTGTCGCAAATGGTTTAGGGACCGCAATAAAATTCATTTTGTTCTGTAAAATTGATACGTAAGTGATTCGATTACTTGTGAAGAAAATAATTTAAGCGGTAATGTATTTACGATATTTTCCCACAAAGCTTTGTAACAATATACAAATATTTATTCAAAACATTTGAAACGCTGCGGTAATGGGATTATATTTCGTTCAAGTCAGGGTGACACTTGAAATCACTAACAGGGGTCTAATATCTGTTATTGCCACGTGACAACCACTTTTATAGAGGTCGCACCGACCCACACAACAGAGAAAAAGTGCTGTCCGTTATAAGAGCTTTTACTGTCACCAGAAACGGCCTAATACGTGGTACATATATCTTATGTGCATAGCTAATACATGAGCACAGAAAAAACAATGATTTAACCCATTAAAAAGTTGAGTAAATAAACAGAGAATTACTTTCCAAGACTAACCGATTTCTAAACCTAATCTTTGTACAACTTATCGGTCATTTCGTCCGAGCTTCACTTAGTTGCGTACAGACAGCAACGACAAAAAACCAACAGTGTCCCTAACCTTCAGAGTTCCAAATTTTCCACTTGGTCGTACAGCATATAAGCGGTTGTCGACAAAAATCAAATAAAGGGGTACTCGTTCTAATGTAGAACCTAGTGTTATACCTGCATCTACTAGACCACGAGGAATTTTAGTCGCGTCTCCAGATACAAGAAGGGTATATTCCTTTGGCTCTAGATACTGACTACTTGAGGTCAAGTAGTTGACCATGTTGTGATCCTGCATGGGTGTTTGGGAAACAGCTTATGTCGATGGTACGAAATCTTAGATAGTGACATCTGTTGCTGGAATTAACAGAGTTCATGTGTTGATAGCTCCATCATGCAGTTCGGAATGGGGTTTTGGGAAACTTAGGTGTGGTATTTGTACTACTTGATGATTCCCTTGTACTTGATTTGGCAGTTAATTCGAATTTCAAATACAATAGGTTCAGTTACATTCGATGAGTTTTATTTACCCTAAGTAAGACTATTCTGGGAAAACATCAATTTGATTACTTTTAATTATCATACTGAGATAGAATTTCGCGAACTTGAATTGTCGGCATTAGTAGTAAGTATGGATGAATCCGAAGATGAGGGTTGAAAAATGGAAATGTTGAGGTGATCTTGAGTGATGTTACTTCTTAAAATACCAGAAGAGGGAACTGAATTAGTAGTGGTTTTAACGATTGCTTAAGCTTAGCCACACACGACCTTTTCGTTTTTAGTTTCTAGCATTAGCTTTTCAAACCCGAGATGGAAGTTCGTAGTCAGTCAGTCAGTCAGCTACAACGTAGGGCCAGGCACATATGTGCATCGGTCCAGGTTGCCATACCGCATCAGCACAACAAGATGAACACCGGATTCATAGCAGTGGTTAGGTCAAAGGTAGTAATATGTAAGAGAAAGATTGCATATAGAGATATAGTACAAGAAGAAAGAATTGGTTCGTAGAAAGAAAGATATGAAGCGATTTTAATCTCTTAGTTTAAGGGAAGACAGAGAGTGTATACACCGACGCCATTGTGATCGATTCTGAGCCATGTCACCAAGAGTCTCCAACCATTGGTTGCGATAGTCACGCAGACCCAAACCAAGTAGTCTGCATCTACCAACATGGCTCAGACTAGAAGTTAGTGACTTCAACCACTGATGCCACGTTTTGGTTTGGCCGCCCCTAACTTTCTTCCAACCATTTTCAATACCGGATAGCATTACACGTCGTGGTAATCGGTGTTCAGGCATACGTAACACGTGGCCCAACCATCTCAGTCGATGAAGATTCATAACCTCATCAACTGATTTACCATCATTCCCTAATACCCTGCGTCTAACCTCACTATTACTTACCCGGTGATCCCAGCAGACGCCAGCAATATTTCTAAGGCATCTGTGGTCAAATACTAATAGCTTACGAGTGTCTTCTACTCTTAATGGCCATGTTTCGCTGCCGTAAAGACAGAACGGACTGCCGCGCAGTATACTCGTAGGGCGCGTGAGATTCCACATTTTTGGTTCAGACGTCTTTTACTTCCTACCTGTTGTGAGGTGACATTGCTAAATATCTACGTTGTCTGGGGAAGACATTTTACTGCAGTCACACTCGTGGGCAGTCGGTGGTACGGACTATGGCTTTAAACTTACGGCTTTTAGTGTTACCACGCTAGAGTCAGTTAGTAACAACGTACAACTTCGTACGTACGTACATCAGTTTGAGTTGCCACACCACCTTAACACAGAGATGCAGTTGTCGATTCAAATCCCGTAGTGGTAGAGGTAGTAAGAGTATAAGCAGTAGTCGAAAACACTAAGGTTCGAAGATGTTATTCAAGGAGTATAAACCAGTGAAATAAATTTGGGAAGAGAAAGAAAAAGAGACAAGGAGGAATCAGGAGGTTAGAATTTGGGAGAACACAAAGAGTGTATGCACCTGCGCCATTGCAAACGACTTTGAGCCATGTCATTCAGGATCTCTAACCATCGGTTGCTATCATCTCGCGGTCCCCAACCAGGTAGTCTACACCTAGCGACATGGCTCAGACCACTTGTCAGTGACTTCATGGACTTGTGCCATGTTTTGGTTTGGCCGCCTCTAACTTTCTTCAAATCTACTCCTATACCACTGAACATAGCACGTCGAGGTAGTCGGTCGTTGGGCATACGTAATACGTGTCCCAGCCATCTCAGCTGATGAAATTTCACTACTTCATCAATTGATTTGCCATCCTTACCTAGTACCCGTTTCCTAACAACTGAGTTACTTATCCGGTGGTCCCAGGATATACGAGCAATGTTTCGAAGACACCTATGATCAAATACTAGTAACCTACGAATATCCTCTACTCTTACCGGCCATGTTTCACTGCCATAAAGTAGGACGGAACGAACTGCTGCGCAGTAAACCCGTCCTTTGTTTGATAGACGGATATCTCGCCTACGCCATAAATGACGCAAGTTGGCAAAAGCTAGTCGAGTCTTCTGTATCCGTGCTGAGATTTCGTCACACACCAGACCACAAAGACTGATGAGACTTCCAAGATAAGTGAAGCGGTCGACACACTCAACTACTTCACTCCCTATCACTAGTTCGGGTGTCGAAGCAACTCAATCCTGAAGTAACATTTTGCATTTCGAGGGAGAGAATCTCATCCCGGACATGCTTGCATTGTTGCTTAGAGTGGTCAGAAGACTCTGCATTTTGTCAGCGTCTTCACCAAACAGAACTATGTCATCGGCATATTCCAAGTCAACAAGTGAACCTCCCGGTAGAAGTTCAACCCCTGGAAATTTAGATGAGGAGAGTGTTATCTCTAAAAGTACGTCGACCACAAAGTTGAACAAGAATGGAGAGAGTGGACAGCCCTGACGAACACCACATGAGGTAATCAATTCTGACAACAGTTCGCCATAAGCTTTGACTCGGCTAGTTGTGTTCGAGTAAAGAGCCTCTGTAAGGTTAGTGTACTTCTTTGGTACTCCTTTCAGTGACAAACACTGTCATAGAACCTCACGATCAACAGAGTCGAATGCTGCTTTAAGGTCAATAAATACTACGATTGTGGGGCGTCTGAACGTGTGTGAATATGTGGTCTATGCAACCACGTCCAGGTCGAAAACCAACCTGATTTTCTCTAGTCTGCTTTTCATGAGCTTTAGTTAGGCGTCGAAGTATTATTGAAGCTAATATTTTAGACACTATATTTGTCAAACTGATTCCTCTGCGATTGTCACAAGAGGACTTTTGTCCTTTCTTATAGACCGGCACAATCAGTGATTGAGACCAGTCAGATGGGATTACGTCCAGTTCCCAAATTCTGCCTAAGACTTCAGTTAATCTCACTGCTAATACTGGACCTCAATCCTTAAAAATCTCAGGAGTAAACCTGTCAGGGCCTGCTACTCTCGCACGCTTCAGAATTCCCATAGCTTTTTCAACTTCGTAAAGGGACGGAGGACCTACATTAACTTGCCCATCTGGTTGACTAGAGATCGTGGGAAACCAAAGTGTGGCTGAAGGCCGGTTGAATTGATCCCTAAAGTGTTCTGCCCATCGATCCAATCTCCTGGATTGAGAATGAATAATATGTCCATCTTTCTCTGAGAGTGTTTCACTAACGGTCGGGTTCCTAATTCCGGTTTCCTTAACGAGTCTGAACAATTGTCTGCTATTACCTATTGCCGCTGCTTTTTCCATCTCTCTTGCTTTCGCTACCCACCACTGTTCGCGATCATTGCGTAGGCTTCTTTTCAGCTTGTGCTTAAGCTGACTCCGCTCTTCATTATGTTCAGAGCCAGGTGAAATGAGTTTCCGAGCATCTATCTGTGCGATAGATGCTGCTGAGATCCAGTGTTGCTCCCTAACCTTCTGGTTTATCTTACTAGCAGATATCACTGCTATTTTCACAGCTTTTCGGATATCATTCCATGCTGCATCGGGGTGGACATCATATACATGGCTGCCTAATTGTTTTCCTAGTTGTTCCTGAAATATACTCTTAGCTTGACTATCATTAAGTAGGGCCCTGAGAGGTTTACTTGCAGCGTCTTTCCTACGTCCAGTAAGACGCAGACAGATACGCGCTCGCACTAGAGCATGATCTGAATCTAAGCATGTGCTCCAGAATGAGCGACAGTCTTCTATCGAGCCCCTCCATCGGTGGCTGATAGCGATGTGATCTATTTGGGTCCAACGTTGGGACGAATTAGGGGTCGCCATGTTAAAAGATGTTTTTCCTTATGCTTAAAATTAGTATTTGCAAGAAAGAGGTGGTTATCTGAGCATAGCTGCAACAGACGGTCGCCATTATCTGTTCTTTGAGCCACGACACCATGAGATCCACCTAGGTGTCTTTCCCTAACGCTTGGTTTACCTACTTGAGCATTAAAGTCTCCAGCCACTATTACTACATCAGAGCGCCTAGCTTTTAGGAGGAGGTCCGAAAGCTTTCTGTAAAACTCATCTTTTACATCATCTGCGCTGCAGTCAGTGGGAGAATAGGCAGAGACGACGAAGAGGCAACGACGAGTGTCCCTATCTTTCCGAGTCCTTACTGTTCCGTTTAGTCGGACAGCGCACAGACGACTGTCTACTGGGATCCAGTCTAAGAGAGCTAGTTCTGCCCTAAGACTCAATGCTATACCTACGCCAGCGAGTCCACGAAAAGCAGCATCTGGGCTTCCGGATGCACAAAGTGTGAATCGAGTTGGTTCTTTGTTTTGATATGGTGATGTCAAATGAATGACGCTACTCGGATCTTGTATGCGCGTTTCGGAGACGCAGCACACATTGATGGTGCGAGATTCTAAAGTCTTAGCTAAGGAAGCTTGTTGTCCTATTTGGCACAGTGTTCGGACGTTATAAACTCCAACATGAAGTTTAGAGTGTGGAATAACGTCCCGCGTACTCGAATCGTTTGCCCTAGCGGTGCGAGGTGATAAAGAGACGTGAGAAGGGTTAGTCATGGAGATAAGAGAGGTATTAGGAGGTGTAGGAAGGATTTGAATGTGACCAACTTGGTCTCGTGTGCTGTTACGGGTATGAGGGCTGATATCACTTCCCGACTGCCCACACCGTGGAAGCGTATTTCTTGAAGAACCTGAAAATGAAGTCGGATTAGTGTTGGTCTTAACGACCTGGGAGCGTGACCGCAAAGCCCAAGGGACAACTGCTTGAGGCCAGTCACGCACGGCCCTTTCGTGGAAGGTTTTTAATGTGTTAGCTCCGTTCTTCAAAGGGCCTTACCGCCGGAGACGGAAATCCATGAGGTAAGGTGAGGTGTGACATTTTAAGGGTCGACCTTTTCTAACCCCTTCCTTCCTTGTGGGAAGGCAGCATCGCTGCAGATGCTGGTTTTTTGAGGGAAACACCTTACTGCTGTCACACCCCTCTACAGTCAGCAGTACGGCTTCGCCCTCAGACCTTGAGTTGCTGCTTTTAGTCTTACCGTTCTCCAATCGACCTGTCTGACATGGTAGAACCTACAGGAACATATGTTCCAGCCAATATAGCTCGGTTGGGTCATCACGATAGGCAAGCGCGACCACCGCGTCAAGGTAGCAGCTTCGGTCGGGTGCCACACTAGAACGTATTATAGCATCCTGGTTGGTTCTACCACACTAGAACTAATCAGGTTGCTATAATACGATCCATAGTAACAAGTATTTTAGCAAATATTGTTTGACTGCGTCATCACGATATACGAAACTGATTATCGTATTAAAGCTGCATCTATGGCCAAGCGAGGTTCTCAATATTACCCCCTGTTTGATTGGATTATCTTTTCGTGAGACACTTAGTCTGCAATGAAATTTTGTTCTATTTAGGGGGAAGAACAATTCTAATTTGATAATTATTACTATTTTGCCTACTAGTAAACAACTGAGTTTTAACCTCACACTTCAATTTCCGGTTGCTATTCTGAATAACACTGACGTTACAGTAACATAATTATAGTTTCTCAGTATATATATCAGTTCATGAAACTTTTTGACCGATTATATCGTCATTTTCAGTAAACGATCACTAATGTCACAGTAAACTCGAGTTTTTTAAAGACCTACTGTGACTCTATGTGTTATATAATATGAAACGTCGAAGGTAACATGATATTAGTTAAGTGCATTATGATACATTCAACCAATTAATATATATTGGGAGCAAAATACTAATTTAGGAGGAAAGTCAAAATTCTAAGGTTTAAAACTTCAACCTATCATATCCGACACAAGGTATTTGATACCATATAAATGGTAAAAATAAGTAAACTAGTCCATTCAGGACTAAGGTATAACAAAGTTTCTAAAGTTTGGACGATGTGCTTGTTTGAAATCGAGATATAAAATAAATACAAATTATTGTATGCACGACATGATTGCGGACGTTTTTGATCAAGACGTTTGGAATTCAAGTTCTTATTTTGGGAGGTATATATGACCAGCCTATATACGGTGGAAGCACAATTGAAATAAAACTGGGTTTAGTCGAATCGTCTCATCATAGCTCCGAGCAGTTTACGGTAGTAATGCGGATTAGCAAGCAATTAGGGGCTGTTTTGCAGCTGAAAAAGAAGTTCTTACGATAATGGACCAGTTCATAAAGTAATATTTGCGACAATAAATATATTTGACGTTGATCAATACCAAACGACTTTCATGCAGATCTGAACTTTTGACGTGATAGCTGTAACATTTAGGCTAAGGAGCTACCAACTGGTGTTCGACTTTGACAGGCTCATTAGTACGATACTTTAGCCACCTAACTCCGAGCTCTAATTAGATAGACCTAAAACCCACAGACTAACCAATAATCTCCCAAGTTTGGGGAAATCCCTGGAGCCATATGACCTTACCCAAGGTTTGGAGGGAGATTTGTGGGTTTTGATGCCATTTCCCCAGAATTTCTATAGCGGCTTCCCCAAAATCGGGAGATTGGGTGGTGTAAAGATACGGTTCAAAGACATTGACAATATAAATATTTGAGCTAATTTTGACAGATAATGTAAATATAAGTCACAATATTACTACTTTGGAGGATAGATGGAAAAAAGCTCAAGCCATTATCACCTGGGTTAGAGAATCTCCGAAGAAAACAGCCTTCGGAAAAGTCATACGCTCAAGGTCGTGCAAGGCCACCTCAGTGTCCAATATCTATTTAACTACGTGATATGCTTACTCCATTTTCTGGATGTTATGGTATGGTTCCAAGTCTCCGTTATCATCCATTGTATACTTTAGTCAATCTATTGAATTGATTCCTATAGACCTGACAGTTAATTAAGGGGTTAATAAGTCCAGGATAGAGATTCATACTCAGATTCAGATTTGTGTAGTAAAGACAGAAGGCCTACGGCCTATACTATTCCCTTTCAGGTGTGCTTCTGTGAGTGTATAGTCTTTTCTCGAGTGGGTTAATTAAAAGTGCGGACAATAGTTTTTCGGGTAGCGGGTTCATAACTCATTGGTACCCAAAGATCCTTGCGAAACTGGACCATGGGTACAAGTACTTCCACTATGCTGTACCTATGTGCCTTTGTATCTCTAAAGCGCGTGTAGACACACTTTGCCGCTTTGAAAGGCATCATTTACTCTTTAGACCAGCTAATCACAATATTTAAGTCTGCCTGAAGTGTGTATACGTATGCGTCTCCTGTTATTTCTCGCAAGATTTTTACATTATAAACGTATAGAAGCATTATGAACTCAGCTGTATTTGGAAGTTCATTTACATGCAGTATAGCAGCAAAGGACCTAGAACAGAACCTTGCGGTACTCCATAAAGTACTGTTCTCCGAGTGGAGCGATTTGAATTTACTCTCACTGTTCGTCCACAACCTACCATAAAATCCTTAATCCATTTTAGGAGGGGTCCGACAATGCCATGATTTCCCAGGTACAATAACAGACTGTTTGTTGGCACATTGTCGCACGCTTTGCGGAAGTTTATGTAGACACTGATTTTCCATTGTCTAGTGCCTTTGTCCATCGCTCCCTTGCAAGGTAAACCTTTTCTGAAAACATGTTGTTCACTGTTTAACAAGTTATCGATCTACACGAATGTCTTTCCAGTATTCAAACTACGACACTAGTGAGGCTGACAGACCTGTAGTTTGATGGAAGTTGTCTTGATTATGTTTTATGTATTGGAGTGACGACTGAATCCTTCCAGTCCATAGGTAACTCACCTTAGCCAGGTGATATTGAATATCGCAGTCAGTGGGGCTGCAATGTATTGTGCCATTTGTTTCAGGATTTCGGTGTATATTTCATCTGGTGCTGTTGATTTTTCCGTGTCTAATGTGTTCAGGGCCTTAATTACATCGTATCGATCAAAGTTTACGACGAGCAGGCGGTTTGTTGACTTGGTATTAGAGTCTAGTTCTTCGTCTGGAAGAGGCTCATGATTGAAAACTGCCCCGAAATAGTTTGCCGTGGCCTCTACTATTTCTGATCACTCCACCATTTCAGATCTACTCCCTTCTTTGGTTGAGTTGGGAATCCGTTGCTGCATCCTTGTTCTGCAATTTATGTACGAGAATAGTCTCTCAGGCCGCTTAATTGCAGATTATGCCAACTGCATTTCATATTTTCTCTGAGCTTCCCGAACTGTAGTTATACAGTTATTTCTTATCGACCTGCAGCGTTTCATTGTTCTTCCTGTGCCAAGGCTGATAGCAACACTTCAACATTTCTTCTTTTATCTTAGCAAACGTCAAATATACCGGTCTGTCCAAGGGTGGCCGTTTTGTTTCTTCAGAACTGTCCAGGGTATAGGTGGTTGAGTTGTCTGAACGTATAACCGCTTGGAATGAGTCTATGTCTCTTCTACTGATGCCCCTGAGTCAATTATCCAGCTTTCAACCGATGCTGCGGGGTTGGTTTCATTCATGTCTCCCTTTCATACGTTCGGACGAGCCGGTACAACTGTTTGACAGGCGATCTCAGACACAAAGTTAAATAAGATCACGACCACTTCTCTCTAGGGGTGGGAGGAAAGTTATTTTACCGACATCATCACCGTGCGCGAAACTAACTCCAAGAGAGACGAGGAGCTTCATAAGTCATATCTGTTGTGATCTCTAATGTTCTGGAATAAAGCTAGTGCAAATGTGGTTTTTAACAATTTTTAATCAAATGATGTTTTTGATAACCCTACTTCTAAGTCTCCACAGTTTATACTCGGTGCCCTAAAGCCGCCTACTTTATGACATTCACCTCTATTACACCAGGACTTAAGTTTGCTTAGGAGGAAGTCATCTCCCACACATTCATGACTGCGGTATACTATAAGTAATTCAATTTCTTGCGGTATACATTTCAGCCTGTAGCGCACCAGTTTACATGTCCCTAGATCATATACCACTGTTTCGACAGCTCGTATGATTAAAGCAATTTTCGCGTACAGGATAGCCTCAGCTCACCTACGGCTTAGTCTATCAGCCCTACTGGATAAAGACTAGTCAACTGGATTTCACTATCAAACAATCTGACGTTAACCATGTATCTTAGACCGTAGTGATATCCGGCTTTTCTATATACACACATGTCCTGAGCCCCCCCCATTTCATTAAGTAGGTTGGGAGCATTTGTGTAGCACACCTCTAATTCTGTGGAGAACTTTCCCTTACCAACAGAGTGGTTTAGGGATCGTTTTACTCCGAACATTTACACTTCAAAAACATTAAAGTACGGGGGTTTTTGCTGTTTCGGCGGCGCTCATTTACTTATACTTCTGCAGCTCATCTCTTAATGCGGTCAAACAGGCTGAGATCCTCACGGATGTGTTTTCTGGATCCAATCAGTTTGCGTGGGTTTCTCAGTATTAGGTTTCTTTCATCAGACGAAGCAAAAGCAACTTTTAAGAGGTAGTTCTTTTGAGTACACTCACAATCCATTTTTTGTACTATTCTGTAAAGCTTACAGATGCCAACTCCAGATACTATTTCTGGAAGGACCTTGCCTAATAAATACCTAATTTACCTGAGGTTATCATGAAATCTACCATTTTGTTTATTTTTTGAGGATTTTCTTAACTTATGAAAAGTGACTGACTTATAAGCGAGATCTGTCTTAAATCTCTGTGAAGTTTTAACAGCATTCTGATTTGACGTCAGACGCAGAGATTTAACTCTGTTTTCTTAATTTTCTTTTTCTGGGTGTGACTGTAAGCCAATCTTTCACCTTATTACGTCTCTTGATCACATAACCAACTTCACTTGTAGCTCTTCAAGGGTTACTGTAGATCCCGAGCTTGGGTAAAGGAGAAAAGTTGGGCATGGGGTCAGCGACCTCACCCCGTGGAACACAACCTTGCTGAAAAAACGTTGACCAGAATAAACAAATCCAAACATTTAAACTCTGCAATGGAAATGAGAAGATACAACTTGGTGGTTCTTGGAATCAGGCAAATCCGTTGGACCAAAGCTGGATGGCAAATGTTATGTACGGGGAAGATGCTGCTGTATTATGATCACAAAGAGTAAAATGCTACACACACTGGGTGTTGCTCTCATGATGCCTAAAGAAGCACGTAAAACACTCATAGGATGATAATCTCATGGACCCTGAATCATCAAAGCATCCTTCAAAACAAAGGAAGAGGGAATTACTATGAATGTGTAACAGCTCAGGTTGATTTGAATATTGCCAATAATGATGGGTTATATGATCACACTAAAAAGCATGCTGTAGGAAAACTGGTTAAGTCATTATGTAAGTTTCCTAAACATGAAAAAAATGATGAGAACTTTATTAAGTATTTGACCATAGTTTAATTCAAAATATTTTGTCTAGAAAACCACTTATTAATAGTAGTATTAAGCGTATCAAGCTAGTAAATGAGGAGACATCCATGGACTATCGTTGACAGCGTTAGTCGTCACTGATTGTAAGTCAAATAGTGAGCGAGTTGATAATTTTCCCTTGGGATGAGAAATAGAACTAAGGTGTTTTCGATAGATAGGTTAATCGAACCGACGTTCCTACGGAAGTCGATTCTAGGGGGAAGCTAATGTAACAGCTCAGGTTGGTTGGTTAAGAGTTGACCCCAAACAACCAAGCTTATGCCAAAACAGTATTGTTCAAGTATTCATTCACTTCCTTATTTTTCATAAGCGTTATATTCCCTATTATCTTGAATGTTGAGAGCCAGGTCGATCGAGTGGCATGGCTCGGCCATGCAGGCGTGGTCTCTGCTGAATATTACCCTATATCTTTTATTCATATTAAATATATTGTTCTTTCTCTAGCCTAAGCTTGTTCTTCATCATGTATTGGTAGTTGTTACGATACAGTGAGTTGGTGTAGACGATGATGTGACTTCCACGTAAGATCTTATAGATTAGGCAGTTATATCATGACAAATCTACAATTTTAGGATTAGGTCTATTATTAGAGCAGTACTAATATCATAGTAGACTATAGTTCTACAAATGTTATGCACACACCAATGATGGCAACGAAGACGGAAAAGATTAGTTTTATGAGAGGCTGCAGTCGATTGAGGTGAAGTGCCCAAAAAAGACCTGACAATTCTTAAGAGAGGCCCAAACAATAATATCGGATGGAAAACACCGGGTATGAATATTTTATGTGACAATACGGACTGACTGGGAAAAAGGAACGTGGATTCACAGATTTGTGTCCATCCAAAATTGTTATAAGTATGTGGTTGAACAGTCGACTGATGTACCGAAATCATCTGTTAGATAACAGCCACAAGGAAACAATACTTCATAAAATAAAGTACGACATCGAAGAAGAATAACTACAATAGTTCAGATATGCTACAAAGTTAAATCTAAATAACGTCGTTCTTACCTATACTGACAGTTGCACCGAACGTTCGTTTAGGTATTATTAGCCTAACAGTTGGATGTGTGAATGAAAACATATACGAAAACTATGGTTGGGTTCGTGGAGAATTTTCGAGGATGTTTAGATATTTTCCAAATCCGTGTTGTACACAAATAAACCGAAAATAGGATTAAAATGACTGTCATGTAATAAGGAAATCGAGCCATGATTTACCGTGTGAAATACAAGGAGTATAGTTAACATTAATCAAAATCGTAACCAGTGTAACTAAAGTTTAGATGGTTCAGGTAACGTGACCATTTCGTAAAAGGCTGATACAAAGAGCTTATTACCTAGCGTTTAGTGACATTAAGTACAACAAAGTGTCTACTGAAGACATGGACTAAGATTGCTCGTGTACATGTAATATGTTTTACCACAGTATGTCGACTTGCGAGTCATAAATGCACATGATGTTGATTAAAACGACGGCAATGATAGAATATATGAGTATTCCACGTGAAAGAAACTACGAAATGTTATTACGCATCATAAATACAGCACGAAGTAATTTAATGAAATTATGAAACTCGCCTGGGTTACTCTTACTTCAAAGTAATGGAGATATGAAGTAGACGGTAGTTTGAATCTGGATCATATACGAGGTACTGTTGATTAAATTTTTGGATTAACACAGCGTTGTAGACTGAATTTGTATAAGTCCAAAATTAATTTAAGCCAAATACGTAGCATTGCCTGACGAACAGTCTAAACGTGATCTAAGGTTGCAGAAAATGTATAGTTCAAACTCACCATAAATTTCTAGCATTCGTATCCTCTGTTTGGCCATGGAACTCAGCAGTTGGAAATTAGGCAGGCGGTGGTAAAAAATTAAAACATTCACGTGGATAGTGGTTAAATAGAAAGATGAATTTATAGTCGATAGTTAATCTTGTCTCGCTTATACCAGTGGATAAGTTACAAACAGATGTGCGTTCGTGTTTTCTTGTGGCTACACTCACGAGTGGTTGACATTTTAACAGACACATTACACAGGAGCATTTACATGCTGCTAATGCTTGTTAACGAACCATGATAAATGATTATGATCGAAGTTGATTGGTAGGTTCTATCTATTAAACTAGTTATTTAAGTTTAAATACTAATCAATATTGACATGAAGCAACGAAAGTTCACAGTAATAGATCAACATGGGCAATGATAAAAATGAAGAATAATAAGTATAGATCACAATAATAAAGATTATAGTGATAGGTTGCGTTACTCAAAGTCTTGCTCAACAGTGTAGATCACCAACGTAGATGATCTATGTCGAGTGATCGGAGGCCTACTCGAGTTAGACGGGAATGGTGTGACGAACCAGCTAACGTCGAAGTCACACCTCGTGGTTGGCAACTTACGTGAACCACCCCACTGACGCATCAAAGTACCATAGCTGCCTAAAAACTGTACAACACAGAGGACTTCATTACAGAAATATATTGGTTAAAGTAGATACAAGCGAAAGCGAGACCACCGCTGAATGAGCCAGTCCAAAGCGTACGAATAACTGATGCGCGTTGGCTGTCCTTGACCTTGACGAGGATCGATGATTCATTCGATATTCAGTGATCCAACTGCCGTATGATTTGGCTTGGGCTCAGTGAAATTTCAATGTCAAATTTCATTAATCCACTGTGGAAAACTTATGGTGATATTTCGATCCATCCGTTCAGAGTCCTGAATATTATTTCCACAACAGTATATCTTTTTATCTGAACATCACTAGTATGAAGAGACAACGGGCCTAATACCTAAGAACACATCTGTCCTGGAAGTTGTCATCTAGCAATAAGCTTTGAAAGGCAGGTCGAAAGTGCCTCTAATTTTCACCATTTGCAACAAGAATTTATTAGTTCCTCATTTACATAGTGAACCTTGGCGGACAACACGTAGTTCACCATCGAGATAATGTTGCGACAAGTTGATTTTAGAAATCTAAGGCATCAACTGTGATAGTTTGAAATATTTGAATTATAGTACAAACTAGGAATCCCAGAAATAACGCAATTTAACGAAAAAGTATTAGATGAGCACAAATGGACGTATTGTATTTGGACTTTGAAATCAAGCAGTCATCAAGTACAAAGGAATCGTTAGTTCATACAAACACCACCCAATACCACCTGGCCACCAACCTTGGTTGAGTCTGTTTAGAGGGTCATTAAATGGAATGAGTTCGAATTATGATTACGCGACTTAAGATGTTCCATCATTGTCGTTTAGCTATATTAGATTACGGCCATTAATTAGAAAACCTTACAGAGTTTGCAATATTAAGAGAATCTTCATCCCTACAATACAACATCAAGTTATTTAGTAGGTTTGATTTGGAGTTATTTCCCCTACCATCAGATTTGCTTCTAAGTAACTACACTGCTCTTTCAATGTAGGAGTTAGACTCATTTGAGTAGATAGCTTTGATAAATATTTTGTTCTAGACTTAGGTTTCATGCTATTCGAAACTCATCAAAAAGATGTGTCTGTAATCTACGACAGAGTCAATGCTTCCTCGTCGACTCGATCCTATCTCATCCAGATTTATAGTTTAAGATGTTACCACTACGTTATCTGAGCCATATCTGACCTCCCACAGGATTGGAATGGATCTACAATCGCCCGATCACTTATTAGTAGCTGATGTCATGTGTTTCAAGTCATATTTTTTAAGCGTCTGTCTAATTTTATCAATCAAGTCGAGGGTTTTCTGTCCACTACCTCTGACCATTGCCTTGAGTCTCAACATAGTTCACATGATATCAAATCACCTAGATTAGTGATCACATTACAACTTCACTGATATAACTAGATCAGCACAAAAGATGGACTTGGGATACATTGATATTTTATACCACTCAGTGACTGACCAATTGCAAATCGAATGACTTGTATTTCTGTTTTTATAATATTCTTTTGCTTGGTCGTCTGTATGTTTTTCTGTCTACTATTTCCATCTCATTGTGATTCTGATCTATAAATATTATAGACGCATTGAATAATACTTTGAAAAGTTTGAACTCGTTTCATCACAGTGAAGATCAAGCTTGATTTAGGTGGAGCTTCGTCTTCTGAGTTGGATAGTTTGATCGTGAAGCTTTCATTGTTTTCCAACTTTTGAAAAATGACCCTACTACGTAATACCAGTGTTCTAGTCTGGAAATCAATAAGTAAAACTGATTCTTACATAAAAAGTGTGTTTTACGCATGTTGTAAGAACAAAAGGGGGATAATTTACAAAGAATCAAATAATTAATGACTTAACAAAAAAAAAGTCTAGAAATGACGAATTATGCTGAAAAGTACCTGGGTTACGGCCAAATTTAAGACATCGCTCCACAATTCCCCTATCAGTCAAGTCGAAATACCTGAAAGTTAATCAAATTACACTTTTCTATCAAAGTGTGAGCTGCTGAATTAGTCTACAGATTAATAAGATGTACATATTTGCACATAGATGATCACACCAGGTGCCTAACCAGATGGCTACATAGTCTAAATATGGATTGTAATCGTCGTCTGTGAACACTACTTGAATCCGTTAATAAAAGTATCTGAAAGTTGAAGCCGTACACGTTTATTAAGTGATAATAACTGTTTTGAACTCGGTGAAATTGCTAGTGACGTTAGTGACCTTGGAGAATTGATGCTTTGATTACTTTGAGTGAAACATGAAGGCAGAGAATATCTTATGTGTGATAAAGAAGCTGTTATGTCCATTGAAGCATAAACAGAGGTATCATTTATTACATTTGGAGTTGAATTACGTCGACTGCTTGCAAAAATATTACTATCACTATTTTCACGATAATTTGTACAACTGCTATCATCATTATTATTAACATCAGAACAGCAATTTTCAGTAAACATTACTGATTTTGTGTTTTTCATTTGTGAACTTTGGTTATGAAGATGCCAATCATCCAAAGGAAATAAGTGTTTACTTGTTAAACTTGAAGACGAACACTGATTAGGTCTATTGTAATTTTCTGAAACTGAAACTGATGAAATGATAGGTTTTGTAGATGTTTCTTTTGATTGATTGTTATGTTTGGATCTACTTGAATTGATATTATTATTACTACTAAGTAATGTATGCGCTTCAAATTTCTTTTTAGATTGATTGCCTTGCATAGCTAATGAATATACTTCTTTACGATATATCGAATGTCTAGTTTTGTACAGACCTACATCGATATAATTAAAAGTTTGATCTGGTGTCTGATGTAATACAAGTTGAAAAACGTTATCTTGAATTGATTTAGGTAATAATAGTATAGCAGTCATAATTAATAATATTAAGGCCATCAGTGATACTAAGGCAATTAAACCAGGTTGAAGTTCTACTTTTTCTGGATTAATAATGAATACCATAGAATTGTTAATATTTACCGAATTATTTATCGAGACATTATGTGTACCTGTTTTCTGTATATCAGTTAGAGTAATCATTATTGCGACATTGACTTGATGTATAAATTTTCACAGTTTTTTGATCAAATATTTTCTGAAAGTATGAAACAAAAAGCGAAAATAATAAGGGTGAAACAGAAATAAAACAGAAAAACAAATTTCAATTTATCAATTTGTATTATATTTTAGAAAATGAGATTTTAAAAATGCCTAAGATTTTCTTTTCATCATTCATTGACTAATTAATATGTGTAAAACTTGCATTTATCCAATAATTAATTGGAATAAATTATAAATGAGAGTACATTGTAATAGCTTATAAGATACTGTAATCTATAACAGTAGCACTCAAGAATTAAAAAAAATAAATTTGAGTAATAAAAAGGCTTATGGGAAACTTGTACTACAATTATGAAACCAATAAAATTAAGTAACTATTGTACTGTTTATCACCCTGAAATAAAGATTCTCTACTAATAGTGTTAATACTAAAGACTATTCAAAAAAAGAAAATAATTTATGTTTAACTATTTTCATTGATTCTTTAAGATAAGTAATCCTATGAGTTACATATTTTTTAAAGCCTATTCAATTGCTAATTGTGAAACACATTGTTTTACCAGAAAAGTCAAGAAGTATGTTTGATCTGTAAGTGGAATTTTATCACAAATTCTATAATTTTCAAATTATTTATATGAAATCTTACTATAATTGTGATGTAGATTACTTACATCCATATAAGTAGTATATAACGAGGGTGAAGCATAGAATGTATTTCAGCAGAAGATCGATGACGAAAGAACAGAAATGGAACGCAATCGACATCAAAATACATGAACAATGAAATCTGAAACAATGGGCTGATATTTTAAAAAAAAGGAACAGTGAAGTTTGAGACGATGGATTGATATTCTGCAAATTAACTATTTACTATATGGTTCTCAGATTTTAGTGAGTTGTTCTGTAATTTCGTGTCAAATACATTCGATTGTCCCAGCTAGTGTTCTGTTCACTACATAATTGTTATTTATAACTTATCGGAAAGTTTTAGCTCTTTAAAAATCCTCATAGAATATTCAAAAATGAAGAATATTTGAGTGAACAATTGTTTCCAATAACTTTATTATCAGTATCTACAGTTATAAGTTCATAATTATTGTGATATTTTACAATGGTCAAAATAAACCATGAAATAAAGAATTTGAAAATGTTATATGTTAAAAAGAGTGAACGATTGCATCTGTTACGACATATATACTTCAAAATTATGTAATATATAACAAATTACAATTAATAAGTGAAATACCAACTCATTAAATTGATATTATAGAAATGTTTATATATTTTACAGGAAATTTTTATTACAGAACTATTTTAGTCAAAGAACCTTTTAAAAAGAAAAAAAACTACTGAATATCTCATTTCTTCACATCAGAGACTACTTATTGATATGTGAATACATAACCATTGTCTTTCAGTGAAATAGTCCAAAAGTATTGTGTTATTTAAAAGAATTAAGAGTACAGAGCTTAATCTGTAGTGGAATTACAGGTTCGTAAACCTAAGGAGTTTTAAATTAGAGTTTTCAATGATTCTTAGAATAATTTCAGTGATTAGTTCAAATCAATAATAAATGAAGTTATTCAATCTGTATTCTAAAAAGAGTATATTTATTAAAAATTAAATGAAATTATGTATAGGTATTAAGTAGAATATCAGTAAAGAGGCTATATATGATCAATAAAAATATAAAATTAATTATAAAGCTAATTAGAATGATCTCTTCTTATCTCTATTAACATGAAAAACTATTAGTAGAAATAAAAAATTATGAGAAACAAATAACAATTTTATGAATTTAATAGTTGAATTCATGAGTCGATTAAAGCTAGACTACCTTGGTAAGTTTGGAAGCACTGAACATCTGTTTCGTCCCCTTATGGGACTCTTCAGTATTGCGCAATCATGATCCCGTTTGCATGATCATCAGTAAGTTGTTGCCTTGCAACAGACACGATTGAAATCCATTGACCACAGCTTCTTACTAGAATTTCAGGAAACACCTCCTGAAGCCAGTTACTGGTGAGCACATAATGACTATTATCAGAAAAGGGATTCTGTGGAGATCGTAGTAGACGGTTGCGTAATTTCGCTAATTTGTTGAAGTTAGACATTAACACCGTTGGGTGCCGGCTAGTTCAGTTGTCTAGAGGTTAAGCTTTCGCGCACGAGACGAAAAGTCCTGGGTTCGAATCCTGTGAATGGGATCGTAGGTGCGCAATACTGAGTAGTCCCATACTGAGACGAAACAGCCGACCAGTGCTTCCAGGTTTTACATGGCGGTTTGGCTTCAAATGACTCATAATTTCAACTAATGAGTAAAGATAAATAAATTTTAGGAAAGTTATAATAAAAGTACTGATAAAAACTGGATATATTTCTATCACAGAAGTTCAACTTTTTTGTGTGTATTGAATGAAATTCAAATGGCATAAATAAATTATATCTTACAGTCAGATTATTGTCATCTGATTCAGTTAAATGTTCAAATTTAATGAAATAGAATTCACTGGATTCAAACAAAGTAACTCATGAGTTTTGTACATCAGTGCTGAATCCTACTTTCATATAGAAGGTTTGATTTCGGTCGATTTATTGTGCTTCAGAAATTCAGAAGTACTAAGAGATGAATACAGAGGCAACCGGATAAGAAAACAGAATATAACTTGATTACTTTAGTTGCAAAACTGTTTTTTTACTGTCACTACATGGGTACTTAAAAGCAGATATTATTTATTTACTTTTAGCTTTCTAATTTATACAAACAGACATTTATGCATCAGTTTTTAAAGTATTTCACTTTTAACTTTTTATCAATGTCTTGCCCATGGATTTTATTATTCTTCTAGAATTATTATAGGTTATTTGGTGAGGTTGGCACAAAGACAATAATTACTGACTGAACATTATCATATTCCAAAGTAGCACTCGATTAAAAAAGTATTTAATTAAAATCATGAACTGATGAATGATAGATCACTATTGAAAACCTGAAAGCATTGAACGGCCGTTTCGTCCTAGTATGAGACTCTATAGCAATGCGCATCCCGAACGTGTGACTTGAACCCAGGACCTTCGGTCTTGCACGTGAACGCTTGACATCTAGACCACTGAGCCGGGATCATTAATCTATTAAGGATCTCAATTAAAACTCAATAATCTCCAATATTTTATACTGCGAAAAAATATTTGATGACATTTTATTACAAATTAAGCTGAAATGTAGTATATAAGATAATTCCTTTCCCAATAGAAGTGATATTCAATAATGCTCATATAATAAAAACAATTTTTTATTTTGACCAGATGGTTAAATATGATGAATTGAGCTAAAAAATGAATTATTATTTTGTTATTTATGACTTGAAGGTCACTTTTCGATATCTAAATGGACATAAAAAGTGAACTTAGATTATTTGATTATAGTTAGATACTAAATTGTATCGATATTTACCCTCACTAATATTGTGTTTATAAGTTATTTGCGTGAATCTATAATAAATAACCTGTAATCTTCCGTTTGAGAAATTATGACAACATTCATTATTAATATTATTTTACTTGGTGTAAAAGATATAATCGTTCTTTTCCTTTAAATAGATTTGTGTTCCAAGTGGAGGCTTTATTACACATATCATTAAAATAACTTGTCCCAAATGTATTATTTGCTTTACTGACTCATTGTGGACCTCTTGCTTTAACATTCATTTGTTCGTAGTTCCCATAGGAAAATCCATCCCTAAGTTTTTTGGTTTTATTTAACCAAATTATTTTATACATAACATTCAACCAAAAAAATGAGATACTTATAAGTTGAATATATAACTTTTAATTTGATATACTTATATGAATAACTCACAATTCGATTAAGTTATGATTCGTAGCATCACATTCCCAAAGGGTAAATATCTAATTATATTTACTATTCCATTCTTTTTAATATGTATATGCATTCGCAAATTCTCTTGGTAAGAATAAGTAAATGTCAAACTGGTTTTCTACAATGTAATATAAAAGAAACTAATTAATTGATAACAAATTACACTGCTAATAACCAATCAAGTTTAAAACATAAAAAGGAATTTGAAGATACTGAAATATTTTGTATTACATTCAAAAAAGATATCGAAATCTCATACATTCATTAAATCAGTTTGAACCTATGAAAGTGTTAATTCTTACGGGCTAAAGAAAAATGACTGGATATAATTAAGAAAACATTGTTGGGTACTGGCATGTAAACTAGAAGGTATTGCAAAACGATTCGTGATGCATGTTGAGCAGTAGGAATAGGTTGATACAAACGTTCTAGTAGTTTAACAATCAATGATCTGGGAATAATGTTACTGTTTAGACAACGTTTATTAAATATTCGATGATTGTATCAGTTACGTTTGCACTTGGTTAATTTGATTTGATTATTAATGCGTTTATAGGTATCAAGGTCAATGTTGAACTTGATAGTTTAAAATAAATTGAGCATTGGATAGAGAGTTAATAATAAATATATTTTTTGTTTTATCCTAATGTGTAGAAAAACTGTATATTTAGATGAAGCAAATGTAGGAGTATTTGTAACCAAAATAACTACTATTACATCTATGAAATATAAACTAAAATCTAACAAATTATTCAAACATTATATAAAACACGTAAAATATTTGGTTGCATAATCAAGGTAGTTAGCAAAGGTTAAAAGTATTTGAATCTAGCTAAATCATATGATAGAAATCTCGTCACTCATTTTGTGTTACATCTCTATTCTCATACAATTTTAAAATTAAAAACTGACGATAGATTGGTTGGAAATCTTAAGATCTATTGTTAAATAATATTATGTCATAATTTGTAATCGTACTCAAACATTTGAAATTTGTAACCTTTTAGGTGTTCCTCTTTGTTAATCTTTTGTTTAGCTATGTACTACGTAAAGTATCCTTTAACAAATAATCATCACAAAAGTGCAACACAGATACATC